TGAAGTCCCTGCGCAACCTGCTCGGGTGTACGAGTGGCGGGAGTCTGAGTGCCTCCCTCGGCCTGAGAAGTAGCGGCTGTAGTAGTAACTGCGACCGCTTGAGCAAGACTGGTGCACATGGTCAGAATCTGACCCAAGGTCTCCTGGAGACCCGGAATAACACTAGGCATAGCCGGTGCCTGAGTTGGTACTGCTGGAGCATCCCCCGCTGGAGCCTGATCATGAATTGGGGCGGCTGGCGGATCTGCAGGTGCTGCCCTAGCTGCTGTACGGGCTACACCCCTGCCCCTACCATGGCCTCGACCGCGTCCTCGGCCTCTAGTGGCCCCAACTGGTGGTACTGGTGGTCGTCTGTCCTAACCGGTAGCACGTGTCCTCACCATTGTGGGAGAATAGAATAACAGAAGTTTAGTACCAGAATCAACAGATTCGCACAACAAGAATTCAAGACTGTGAAGTTTTCCTAAAGGTTTTGTAGCCTCCCGAAGATAAGTACAGACGTCTCCGTACCGATCCGCAAGACTCCACTAAACCTGCTCATGACCCATGAGACCTATGTAACCTAGGCTCTGATACCAACTTGTCACGACCCCAAAACTGACCTGGTCGTGATGGCGCCTATCGTGAAACTAGGCCAGCCAACTGATTTCCAAATAATCTATATTTCATTTAAAACTTAAGAAAAACCATTTTTCCTACTGAAATCCGATAAAAGATATAAAGTAAAAGTCAAAACAAAACGGAAAATACAAGTTCGATCTCGGGTGTCACTAAGTCATGAGCGATGCTACAATAGTTTTGAAACAAGACAACACCAAGACAGTCTGGAAATAACAACAAAGTATAAATAGGAAGATAGAGAAGGAGATAAGCAGAACTGCGGTCGCTAGGCAACTACCTCGCTATCCCCGTGAAGTCCGTGACTGGAGTAGTCAATAGCTGCTACTGTGCCCTAAGATACCTGGATATGCACACAAGGTGCAGGGGGTAACGTGAGTACACCAACTCAGTAAGTAACAACTCCAACCTATGGACTAACAGGTAGTAACGAACCAAACCTCAACATGTAATACATTTAAACTGTACAGAAAAGTAGACATGTTTGCAGTTCAAGTAATACCTCAACAGTAAATAAAATAGAGTCTAAACAGTATGGAGTATTAAACTCAGGAAAATCTCTATGTACCAATGCACAGATAGCATGACCAATGTTCCGTGTACCTCCACACACAAGTGCTCAACCGCTCGGTACTGTATATGGCCATCCGGCCCGGGGAAGATACATCCCAGAATATATATATATATATATATATATATATATATATATATATATATATATATATATATATATATATATATATATATATACACACACATCACTGACCGCATTCATCCAGTACCAAGGAAGGCCATTCCAGCCCTATGGAGAAGATCCATCTCCAGCTATAATACTTCGGACAAGATCCATGTCCAGGGAAGATCCATCCCTCAATATCATCAACCGCGCTCACTAGGGGTGTAAAGACTCTGGAGGGGCTCCTTTCAGCCCAAGAGCTATAACAAGCCAACGAAGGCGTAATCAATATATCGCTGCGGCATGCAGCCCGACCCCATACTGTCACTCAATATCAGGCTCTCGGCCTCACTCAGCCATCACCCTCCAGTCTCACACACACGGGCTCAAAATGTCATGGTACTAGTCCGAACAAAGATATGATGTGTCAGATAATAATAATTGAGACTGAGGCATGATATAATATGCATGAACATGACTGAGTACAAAATGTCAATGAAGCTAATGATATGGCAGCAAGAAACGACCTCTCGGGTCTCAACAGTATTAGCGTGAAGCCTTAACATGATAATTAGCATGATTTACAGCTCATTAGCTTAATAACATATTTACAACACAAATATCAGCAAGAAACAGTCACTAAGCGGTGCCATGGAATGATCCAGGCCGCGATTCTCACGGTGCACGCCCACACTCCCATCACTTGGCATTTGTGTCACCGCAATAGTAATCATAGAACACATAGTTCGGGGTTTCGAACCCTCAGAACCAAGTTTGGAAGCGTTACTTACCTCAAGCCAAGCCAAACTCTAGCCCGCGACGCCCTTGCCTCTCGATTCGGCCTCCAAATGCCCCGAATCTAACCAAAATCAGTATATAACCATCAATATACTCTAAAGGAATGAAATCCGTACGAAAATTATCAAATTAACTCATAAAATCCCAAAATTGGCCCAACCCGACCCCCTGGGCCCATGTCTCAGAATTAGATAAAAATTACATCACAAGAATCCTCGTCCTCCCACGATTCCATACATACCAAGAAAATCAAAATCGGACCTCAAATGGCCCCTCAAATCCCCAATTTAACTCTCCAATTCAAAACCCTAATTCCCTCAATTTTAGCCTTTAAATCCCACTAAAGTCATGTCTAATTAGTTAGAAATTACCATAGAATCCAGTATTGAGTTCAAAAACCTTAACTCCAAGTGTTTCCTTCGAATCCCTCTTCAATCCCTCTCAAAAAGCTTCAAAGCCGTTCAAAAATGGTGAGAAATGGCCTCAAAATCGCGACGATGGCTTTATAAACATTCTGCCCAGATGCTCCCTTCTTTGCGAACGCGGTCAAAGCCTCGCGTTCGCGGAGCAAAAAAAATCACTACTCAAACTTTTCCTCTTTCGCGAACGCGAACTCCACCTCGCGAACGCGGTTCCTTGCCTAGCTTGGCCTTCGCGAATGCGAAGAGCAACTCACCTGCCTCACTCAACATCCCTACGCGAACGCGAAGAACAAATCTCTGCAACAAAAATACCAGAAAATCTGCTATCTTTCCAAAGTCCAAAATGATCCGTTAACCACCTAGAACTCACGCGAGGCCCACGGGACCTCAACCTTACCAGGGCTTGACATGCCGCGAATCCTCTTGAAAGAGAGGGGTGCCTTCGGGAACGCGGACACAGGTGGTGCATGGCTGTCGTCAGCTCATGCCGTAAGGTGTTGGGTTAAGTCCCGCAACGAGCACAACCCTCGTGTTTAGTTGCCATCGTTGAGTTTGGAACCCTGAACAGACTGTCGGTGATAAGCCGGAGGAAGGTGAGGATGACGTCAAGTCATCATGCCCAAGGTGTATATATCTATATGCTTTTTCATTTATCTAATTCTACAAAAAGTAGGAGTATCGCTTGGATACCTCTTTATGGATGAACTTCAAAGGGCTGTCGCTCCATTTCTTCATGCATCGAGGGGGGGGGAATGTCTGGGTCTGAAGGAAACCTGGGGGGTAGCAGTGGAGGCCCCGGTTGGCCGTCCTTCGGTGTAGGCCTATTTGCGGATAATAGTAGTTAATCAAATGACGAAGAGTTCGCCCAGCCAAACCCCCAAAACGTGCCCCCTAATGCAGTGGAGGCAGTCCTTCCAGAACCGGATATGGATTCGAAACATAAACTAAATACAAGAAAAGATAAGAAGAGATGCGTCCGCCCCCTATATATTTGATACCTTCTCCTACAATAAAACTAATAACCCCAACCCCGTTAGTCATCTCGTGTCTGGTACTGCATGGTTCCACTCTGCAAGAACTCCGAATCATTCTCTTGAAGCTCATCCTCTTCATCATAAATGATCCGCTTGCCCCGAAATGACCTGGACCAATAGGGAAATCCCAATTCATTGGGCCTTTCGATACAATCAAATAGAAAGCCCCAAGGGCGCCATATTCTAGGAGCCCAAACTATGTGATTGAATAAATCCTCCTGCGGGTCAAGGGCTCCTTCTCCCTCCCCTTCTTCAAACTCCGATTCATATTTTTCATAGAGAAATCTCTGATCAAGGATAGAACAAGAGCCGTTTTGCATCATATCTAAGGGATTCCTCGGTTCGGGCCGAAGAAGCAATGTCACTCGATCATTATCAAACTGACTGCAATCTTTTTCTGTCCGTGAAGATCCCACCAGAGCGCCTTCTACTTCTAATAGGCCATGAACTAGATCAGAATCATTCTCAACGAGTCCATAAGAAGTGATCCCATTTTTTTCATCGGGTCCGGATAAAGACCAAAGATCGTGAGCGACCGATCCGGCAGAACAACTCAAAAGATAAAGAAGTATCGTTAATCTCTCCATGCTCGTTCCAAGCTCGAAGTACCATTTGTACAAATAAGAATCCCCTTCGTTACATGATAACGAAATTTCGAAGAAGCTCTTTTAAGAATATTTCCCGCACTTCTTCAGTAAATTTTCCTACTTTATTATGCCAATTCCTCTCTCCGTATATTTTATGTTAGAAGGAAGGCCAAACATGCCAACATATCCCATAACATCATTCAAACTTGTTCCAACCTTCGGAACACTCAAAACAACATCAAAATACCAAATCACCCTCGGATTCAAGCCTAAGCATTCTAAATCTTCTGAATTCTGCAAACGATCAAAAAGTCTATCAAACCTCACCCCGAATGACCTGAAATTTTGCATACACGTCTCAAATGACACAACGGACCTACTCCAATTTCCGGAATTCCATTCCGACCCCGATATCAAAATTTCCACTATCGACCGGAAAATGCCAAAATTCCAATTTCGCCAATTCAAGCTTAAATCTACCACGGACCTCCAAAATACATTCTGATCATGCTCCTAAGTCCCAAGTAACCTAACGAAGCTATCCGAACCATCAAAATTCACATCCGAGACCTTCTACCCATAAGTCAACATCCGGTTGACTTTTCCAACTTAAGCTTACTCAAAAGAGACTAAGTGTCTCATTCCTCTACAAAACAACTCCGAACCCGAACCAACCAACCGGATACCACATAATACAGCTGAACAAGAGATAAAGAAGCAGATATGGGGGGAAACGGAGCGGTAACTCATGAAACAACTGGCGGGGTCATTACACTTTCTGAATGGGTTCATTGAAGAGGATTGAGGTAGTGATATACAATCCCTGTTTTGGTTGTTTGAATTGTATTGGTATTAATTCACAAAAATGGGTGTTACTACTAGTAATGAGTCTGAATTTACCCCTCGTGCTTCAAGTCCTCTGTTCCTTCATCCTAGTGATGTCCCTGGTACATCACTGGTTGGTGTTCCTTTCTCCAGTACTAGATTTGGAGGTTGGAAAAGGAGCATTATCATGTCTCTTTCAGCTAGAAATAAAATAGCTTTTATCGATGGAACTCTCCCTAGGCCTCCTATTAATTCACCCGAGTGCAAACAGTGGGATAGGGTGAACAACATGGTAATTTCCTGTTTAACAAGCTCAGTGTCCCCTGAAATTGCAGAAAGTGTTCAATATTCGGAGACTGCTGAGAGTATTTGGAGGCAATTAAATACTAGTTATGGAACAGCTAATGGAACTAAGAAATTCGAAATTAAGAGGGAGTTGGCTTTTACATGTCAAGGGGATCTTGATATTGCATCTTATTTTAACAAGTTGAAGAAGCTTTGGGATGAACTGATAGTCATGTCTTCCAATCATGCAAAAAATTGTAATTGTGTTGCTAAGCCTGGTCTGGAGCAGGAAGAAGAAGAGAATAGGGGTGCATCAATTTCTAATGGGGTTGAACGAGACATATGTTAATGTTAGGAGTAATATTCTGCTCATGAACCCACTGTCTTCACTTGGCAATGTTTATAACATTCTTTTACAAGATGAAAAATAAAGACAAGTCATTCCTACCACTCATTTTAGTTTTGATATGGCTTCTTTCCATGCAAGTGTCAACAATAAACCTCCTTCTCAACCAAATCTTAACAAACAATACAATTAGAGAGTTAATTTTGATCAATCCAATCAAAGGATGAATCTTGGGCAGCATAAGGTATCTTTATTCTGCAAGTACTGTAAGAAGAATAACCATACCATTGAGACATGTCACAGGCTGCATGATATTTCACAGAATTTTGAATTTACAAAAGGCAGGAAGTATGGTACTGCTGCCAATATTGAATCTTCTACTTTTGGAGTGCTTGATGCCCCTACTACTTCTGGATCTGTTCGTCAAGACTCTATGATACCTGGACTGACAAAAGAATAGTGCAGTCAACTGTTGATGCTTCTGAAAAGTTCAACTTTGGACTTTAACTCTTAGGCAAATCTTATGGGATCTGCAAATTTTGCTGGTAACATTTCTACTCAACCTTTCCCTGATTGTGATAGCTTTGCTGCTTGCATGTTGTCTAGTGATGTTAGGAGTGTTTGGATAGTAGATTCAGGAGCAAATGACCATATGACATTAGTAAAGATTTCCTTTTTGGCATTAAACCCCTTCCTGTACCCTCTTTAGTTTCTTTGACAAATGGTTACAAAGTGAAAGTAACATGCACTGGTTCACTTACTTTGTCTCCTTTCGTTGTTTTGCATCATGTGCTCTATATTCCATCATTTCAATAAAATATCATATATGTTTATAGGTTGATTCAACAGTTTTACAATTTTGTCCTTTTCATATCTTTTTCCTATTATATATAGGACCCTTCCAGGAAGAAGCTTCTGGAACTTGGTAGAGTGCACCATGGTCTTTACAAGATTCTTCCACTTACCACTTCAATCTCTTCCACTTCTAGTCATAATATTGTTCTCCCTAAACTGAATTGTATCTCTATTTCAGATTTAGCTGCTAATGTACTCTCCATGCATTCATCCTCTGCCTCTTCCCTAATTGACACTACATCGGTTGTAAATAATTCACCTTTGAATAATAATGTGCCTATTGTGTCTGACAGTACTACTTCTACTCTTTCTTGTGTAAACTCTGATGTTTCTTGTATGAATTCTGTGAATGCTGTAACCAGTTCTGATATTCTTTGGCATCATAGATTAGGTCACATCCCATTTGCTAAAATGAAGACCATTCCTGATATTTCTCCTAATATTTCCTCTAAGCAATCTTTCATTTGTCCAATTTCTCCTCTAGCTAGACAATCTAAATTGCCTTTCCCAGATAGTACCTCTAGTTCCACTTCCTTGTTTCAACTAATTCATATTGATATTTGGGGACCATATCTTACACAATCATATACTGGCGCAAAATATTTTTTGACAATTGTGGATGATTATAGTAGAGCCACTTGGAGTCATTTAATGCATGCCAAAAGTAATGTTTTTCCTCTTCTCAAGGCATTCATTGCAATGGTCCAAACACAGTTCAACCTCCCTGTCAAAACTATTAGAAGTGACAATGCCCTAGAGCTTAGCTCTTCTCATTCCATGTCTCAATTTTTCTCTGAAAATGGGATCTTACACCAAACAAGTTGCTTCACACACCTCAACAAAATGGTGTGGTTGAGCAAAAATACAAACATCTTTTAGAAACTTCAAGGGCTCTTTTATTTCAGTCAAAACTTCCTACCAAATTCGGGGGGGGGGGGGGGTTGTGTGTTAACTGCCACCTATCTTATAAATAGATTTCCTTCAACTGTAATATCAAACAAAACTCCTTTTGAACTCTTATATGGTGTTGTACCATCCTATAACTATTTGAAACCTTATTGCTTCCTTTGCTATGCTATAGTTCCCAAATGTCAAAGGGACAAATTTCAGCCAAGGGTTGTCCCTTGTATGTTCATTGGTTACCCTTTTGGAAAGAAGGGCTATAAGCTTTACAATTTGCAAACTAAGTCTGTACTTATTTCCAGAGATGTCAATTTTCATGAAGTTGTTTTTCCATTTCATCTCTCAGTCTCTCCTTATTCTATATCTTCTCATTTACCTTCTTCTCCATCTCCTATCATTTCCGACCCTTCTGGTCCTTCAGATGTTGATGTTTCTTTTCCTCCTTCCTCCACCCCTTCTTCACCTATTTCTTCTTCTTCACCTATTCAAAATATATTAACGCCTATATTCCTATGAAATCAATCTATTAAGAACGCATTAAGATTACAATATTTTAATTAAGCACGGTGACTAGGTATATTCCTATCCTAACCACAAATCTGCCCACCTAAGGGTTAAGATCATGCTCTCTTCAATTCTTCTCTAATCTAAACACAGCTTCCCAAGCATAGCATAGATAGTAAATAGAACCTAACTGTTGGCTAGACAATTAAGCAATTAATCACAGAATTGAAGAAACAATCATATATTAGTGAATTATAATCGAGGTTAAGTCAACATTAAACAACAATATTCATGGCTAAATCACAACCCCAGAACAATGGTTGTTTAGCCACTTATGATGTAATCAAACAATTGCATAAGTGTTGAATCAATTGGAAATACTTGAAAAAGATGAAGAAAACTGTGAATTCTCCGCTTCCTTATGATCTCGTGTGTGCTTTTCCTCCAAAGTGGCGTCTCTCCCCTCAAAAATAGGTTTAGTCTTGCTTTTATATGTGTTGGGTAAGTCTAGGGCCGAATAAACCGTGTCCCGGGCAAAATAGGACGAAATCACATCACCGACGCCCTGGTAGAGCGAGGCGCCCACCAGGGCGCTGCTCACAATTTAGCTACTGTTTCTGGCGCCACAGGTAGGGCTGGGCGCCACCTGTGGCGCTGAAATATGCCCATTCCCTATTTTTGTCTATTTTGGCTCTAATTTTGCATATTTCGCCCCCCCGATTTCTCCCGGTTCATTCCTACTCATAAAAACACATCAAATTAACATAAATTAACACATTTCACATCCTAAATCCACGAAACAAAAGCAAGATATGACGTGATATACATAGAAATATATATGCTTTAAGCTAACATCAAAAACCCCATTAGGATAACTAGTATTAATCCTTGTAATAGACAACTATCAAACAACTATAATGGCGATGCACAGGCATCACCCTCTCTGTAGTAATTTTAGTTATGTTTAATGCAATATTATCTTTCTCACAAAAAAAAAAAAGAAGTACTCCAAGCATAGTTGCTTTTTCACTCTGTGTAACTCGATTCTAGGATTCAATAGGGATTTATTATTTTTGTCTTTCCATAAGTCGGGAGTCTATGGAAATAGTCTCTCTACTTACAAGGTACGTCAGGTAAAATCGACGTATATACTACGTATCCTTTCCAAACTCCGCTTATGAAATTAGACTGAATTTATTATTGCTGTTGTAATATGAATTTAATTTTTCGTACTTAAGTTCTTCAACTAGAGAGGGGAAGCTCAACATGAGTGGGCGTGGAGTAGGGAGAGACAGTAAGCTCAATAGGCAAATTAATATCTAGACCTAGAGTGAATGTAAGTGGAAAAGTGTGCATGACACGTGGAAGTGTGTAATATTCCACGTGGATGCTTACTTGGCATGACACCTAGACGACAGGGTATTAACACTGCAGAACAAACATGCAAAGCCGGAGCTAAGATTTAAAATTTTTAGGTTCCGAATCCTGGCCCTTTTAAGTTACTGGATTCTAAATTAATAATTTGTACATATTAAATAAATATTTTAAAACAAATATAAAATTTGCATCAAAGTTACTGGATTCGGCCGAACCCGCACTTCAAACTCTAGCTCCGCCCATGCGAATGTGTTGAGGACCATGTGTCGACATATGTTCTTTTGCTCAAAAGTGTAAAAATGTCGACAATATTCCTTTGTGTGCGCCGTATGAAGAATTGGATCGAAAATAGTTTATTCCTAGATTTTGTTCCATATGTATAGTGCAATCCGGAAAAGAGGAATTATTTCTTACATTGTTTTATGATGTTTGGTGGTTGAGTTTGATGCGATGCAGACCCAAGATTTGAAATTTATGGGTTCCCGCATCACTCTCAAACTAATATATAATAATAATAATAATAACAATTGAATTCACAATTAAATTATTTATAAATATTTAATGAATTTGGTAATACATATATATGATCTAGGTAAAAGCAATTGGATTCACGAGAACTCACGTGTATCAATCTAGCTAGATCCACCCCTGCCCCTGCACATAATGTATTATAGTAGTAGAGTAGATAGTAGCTAGAGATCATTTTCTTGAAAAGATATTATATCACCGTGGGAGAGTTTAAAATGAGTAATGGTGCAATGAATAGGATCCATTCATTTTTAACCACAGATCTCTAGTTCGAACCTTGAGAGTAAAGAATTTTTTAATAAAAATTGTAATGAGTTATGAATATTAATTACCTTTTTCAATTATTTTATAGTCAGTGTATATTTGCGTAAAACAGTTTTTAATACTAATTGTGGACTAAATTGAGAAACTACGCTAAGATCAGTTTACAACAATAAGAAAATTACATGTAAAAACTTAAATAATTGTCAAAGTAGCTAGTGACAAAGAAATCACAATTACGTTTTGGGTGCTAAAATCTTGACAATTTATCCTATTTCTTCACAAGTTGCCTTAGGAATCCCACTAGCTAGTTAATTAATCTGCTGCAAAATGCACGACAAATAGAACGATAAAAAGAAAAAAGAAAAAGATGAAGATCAAAAGATGTGGCTGTAGGTATGTCAATATATTTGATGTCCGAGACAAGATCAAAAGACTTGTGCTTTTCATTAAAAGTTGAAGAATAATGTAAATAATACGTCTGTGTCCAAGACACTTGTCGAATATTTACCTGCAGCAGCAGAAGAATTAATTATTTTTTCTTTGGTCAAAGAGAAACTAATTAATTGGAGTGC